TGTTTTACATTCATTTTAAACCCCAGGTATTTGTTTTCTTCTTTCATACAGAGTAATAGTGGGGATGCTGTCAAGACAAAAGACCAACTTATGGAATCTGCAGTGTTTCCCCCTCAATATGCTGGACTTCAAAGTGTCCCCTTAAAAACAATGCAAATATCACGTCCATATGTTTTATTTATGTTCCACTTCATTCCCCTGAAAGGCTTTGAGCTCCAGCAGCAGCAGTAAACTCCAAGTGGAAGTCTGAGCTCCCAGCTGTCTGGAGTTACCAAGTCAGCAGCTCTAACCAACCAGCTACTTGTCTAAATCCAAGCTAATGGACAAGAACGGTGGATAAAACCTGCAGAACGCTGGTACAAAACAAAACAAACAAACAAACAAACAAACTGCTCACCGCTCGCTCTGCAGAGAAAATCCTAACGAATGATGGAGTCTTCAAAAATGATGAAAAAAGGGAAAAAATGGCGTTGCACAATGTCTTTACACGTGGACATTTTTCCATACGGATCCAGAACACCAGATATCAAAGACATTTCAATGACATCTCTGCTTCAACGTGTTCCAGCTCATTTATGAAGTAGTTACACAAAAGAACACGATAAATCTCCGCAGTATAAATACATTCATTTAGAAGCTGATGGAATATTTGGCTCCCAGCGGGACAGTGAGTAACAGACCTTTTTGAAAGTCAGAGAATGAGTCTTAAAGCTGGACATAAACGCCAAGCCCTGTTTTCTTCCAGCAGCCAAAAAAATGTTATCATGCAATCTTTGACTGAGACATGAGAAACTCCCTCTCTGTTTGTTGAAACTTCTGCATTTCTCAACAGAGGTGAGGACTGCTCCTTAACTGATGACCCTGGTGGTCAAACACAAACACACAACACACAACACGCAGGCAGATAGAGAGACAAGGAAGTGTTTGTGATGATGCAGAGCTTGTTCTCAAGCCGAGGTTCACGTTACACTTGGAACAACGACAGACGACTTGAGAGCGGCGCTAAAATTGTTCAGCTGTTCAGTAGCGCGAAGACAGGTTTAATATCACCCAGTGCAGAAGAAGCAGAGGAGAATTCAGGTGAGCGTCAAAAAGATTAGGCATCTAGTTCACCCCCCAAACCCCCCCACGCTGCAGCTCCCCGGGGCCACATTTAAATGTGTGCGGCCCACTGTGACCAGTGTTAATTAACGGGTTGTTTCACGGATGTGTAAAATGCACTTCCTCAGCACTCTATAAAAATCTTAATGGATTGTAGGAATGTAAAAAGACAGAAGTCACAGCCTGTATTCTTAAAAACAATTTTTTTTCTCACTTAATCTACATATTTACAGCTTTCTGAAACCTTGTATTTTGTTCAGGACTACAATTCCAATTGTTCAACATAAATAAAACCACTCAGTAATTGCCCTTCATCCACTAGTGCATGACAAAGATAAAATATCAAAATTCCAATTCTTTTGCCTTGCTGTGTCCCTCCTTCAACACTGCTGTAACCCCACAGGGGGACCCTACCCCTATTTTGGAAACCACCACTCTAATCAGGACTAATCTGGATTTGGCCAGGGAAAGTTTTACTGTAATTTAACATGCACTGCCACAAAAGAATTCTCATCAGTTCACTTTTATTCTCTAGCCATGTTTTTTTGGAAACCCCCCAAAAAATTACCAATTCTTTTTAACTTTTAACTGATCCCAAACCCAAAAAAAAAAAAAACAAGCTCAAGTGGTTTGAATATCACAGCGGGAAGAGAAAAAAAAAAGGTCACTCTTAACACTGTCCAGCTTAAAATGAATGTGGTGAAATCAGTCATCAGGTTTCCATATTCTGACGTGCAGAGCGACCAAGTGTTGAGCAACTGTGCTGTGTCAGGAGCGCGGTGAAAAATGATGTTCTCCAAAAGAAGAAAAAGAAAAAAAACATTGACTTTGTTCTCTGCACATTTTTCAACACCTCTAATGTTCTTGACTCTCATGTCATTTCTCATACGGTGGGTGACGATGCAGTTTGACAGCACACACGTACGTCACTCTGTGAAAGTGAGACGACGCGGATCAAACGGATTCAACATACGAGGCCTAAAACAGGACGGGAGCTGACGCTCACATACTACAGCTGATGCTCACCGTACACATCCTTCTTCACTGAACGGGATGCTAACACTTACACACACAGCAACCGTGTGGATTGTAGCACTGTGGTAGCAAATCTGACCCAAAATACTGATGACAGCCATCGTTTCTGGCAGAGATACAATCTGTTGGAGGTTTACCACCACTGCTGCTGCTGCTGCTAACAGGTGTGGGCAACTAAATCTCCCAAAAAAAATCATCTATCACTTAGAGCTTTTTACTAGAAGCTGATGTTGCCCACACCGACAAAATAAAAGACCTCCAGCCCAGTGTGTAGCGGAGGTCTTTTTCTCTCTCCGCTCTGTCTCTTTACATCGGGCTCCACGACGTTGATCTGGGCAAAGTCGTTGCAGCGACTTAGCGGGGGGGAAACTGAAGCCAGCTGTGAGGGTTTAAGCTGATAGAGAAGGGAGGTGCAACGTCTCTGTGTGTGTTCTTAGGTGGTGTGTAGTTGTGAGAGGAGGAGGAGGAGAGTGGAGGAGGAAGGTGAAATCATTTGAGTTGACGTCTGACGCAGAAGCCTCCGAGGCATCATGGAACATGGAAATGGTGTGAGAAAAAACAAACCTAGAGTCACGTTGAATTTGCGAACATGAGGCCCACAGACAAAAGAGAGCATTGAACTCTGGCCAGGACTGGTCTGAACAGCTGCCTGGTGTGACGGACATCTACGGTTTTTGCACTATGTGACTGTGAGGTGCTAAAGTCTTCTGACATTATTTCATCACATTGCAGCGACTCCGTGCTAAGTCCACTCTGACAAAGTCGTTCCTGGAACGACCTGTGAACCAAATCTGGTTTCCTGGTTAGTGACACTAATACACTCTAGTCCGTCCAGTAGAGGGCGGTCTATGTGGATCCTGATGTAATGAAGGTAGAAATGAAGAAATGTTGCAGAAATGTTGCTTCATTCTAAATGTGAAAGATTTCAGGAGAGTAATTCAGCAAAACGTTTGAAAAAAAAGGGAAATTAGATCATTTAAAAACAAAGGCAACGATTGTTCATGACTTCATGACAGTTCTTATTATCAGTCATAAGAAAAATGTCTCTGTTTGACAGATTAACCACCCAGCACATATGATTTTAGTTTGGGAGTTTGAACTGTTGACATCATTATTGTTTTTTATTGTGATCATTTTTATTGCCATAATGTTTTGTGGTCTTTGAGGAGAACGTCGGTCAGTGAGATCATACTGAGCATTTACACCATATAAAAGCCTGCAAGTATTCTGTCAGGGATAAGTCATTTCCAACACTGGGTGCTAGCTGTTCATGTTGCATTGCTCTTGTAACAATATTCTGAGCATGTAATACATTGCATGGAATCACATTTGTGTGTATGGGTAAAAATTAGAAACTGAAAAAAAAAAAAAAGTTCTCCACTGATTAGACTTTTTTTCTGCACGTGCTTACAGTTATGCAACTTTAGCTGCTTTCATCTAAAACATGAACACAATGCTTTAACCATCTAGTGGTAAAAGCAGCAAATACTTCAACAAATACTACAACTGTAGAGTGTTGTATGAATCTGACAAAAACTAGGTGTCTTGAAAGAATTTTCCAGTAGATTCCAGGGCATAACATGGGTCATATGTGTAGGGCACAATAGGATATCCATCAAATGACCCCTCCCATAACCCCCTACCCACTCATCCTTCTTGTGTGGTGTGGAATTCAAACTCTGCTTGCTAGGCATATCTGGGTGTAAGCCCTGCTCACCCACAGCCTCCAGCCTTTCTCTCTCTCTCTCTCTCACTCTCACACACACACACACACACACACAATTGTGTAGACTCTCCTTAAAAACCACGCTAAACCTTTATATCTAACAATACAGACCGGACCTAATCTTATGGCGCTGGACCAATCACAGGGCTGGAAACGTGAAGGGTGGAACTGATTGGCCGGTGGACACAAGGGCCAGTCAGAGAAAAGAGAACAAGAGGAGACAACCATTGTTGAATGATTAGCATGAAAGACACTTTTGTTAGCAGCTTGAAGGTAGTACACTACGCCTGTATTTAGATCAAACCTCCAGCTTAAAATAGGTCAACGCTGCCGTGCAGAGATAGCGACGTGTGCAACTAACCAATCTCACCAACGCTTCCAGAGAGACTAAGGTCCAAAGATTATTAGCTGTGAGTAATATTGATTAGCTGCAGTGCAAAGGTTAGCGCAGACAACAACAGCAGAGAGACGGAAGAAAAAAGCTGAAGAAAACTTAGCCTTGGCTATAAACCCATCACAACGTTAAGCCTTATATCAATCAGCAACGACTCTCCCAACGGCGGTGACATTTCTGGGACAAATTCAACTCACCACCTTCTCATTTTTTCCATTATGGAAGTTATGAAAACGCCCTGAGAATGGATGGCGTTTGTTTTGTTTGGTCGACTGGCGGCTTTTAGTCCCTGTAAAAATGTCTCCACGGTATCTGCACACATAAATACGCCAATGGAGATTTAAACTGTAGCTCTTAAAGATTAAAGTTAAAGTTTGCATGACTCCTCGTACAAACAAATTAGATTCAGCTGATGTGAAGTTTTATCAGGTATAAAACAAGTTTTTTAAATTCATTTCACAGATAAAAGTAATATTTGGAACGTCATGGAATTTCATTTTCTGTGCTGCAGTCAGAAAACAACCCACAGTATTCCTGGTTCTACTCCACCCAGGGGACTGTCTGCTTTATTAAAACAACTGTCAGTCAAATCGTCAGTAGTCTTCGGCTGCTACGGTACGTCTCACCATGTGACCTTTAAAAGTATGACAATAATAAAATATTGTCACACCGACCAAAAACAAGCAGTTTGAATAAAACCCGCATTCGCAGCTCCGTTCACAGGAGGAAAGGTGTTAATGTGTGTCGTAGATCAAGATCGAGATGAAGGAAAAAAAAAAAACCTCTGCATGACCCACAAATCCCACATCCTGTTCACAGAGCTGCAGCACTCTGACAGTCTGAGAGTGACCCACTGAATAACATGGCTGCCCAGGAAGACTCTCACTGTGTCAGCAGCACTGACAGAAACACAGAGGGGCAGAAAGCCTTTGTCGGGGCCAATCGTAAGTGTTGGTGAAGCCGAGAGTCACCTGTGGCTGCAAGAACCGAAACCCTAATCCTGCTTCATCATCTTTGGTTTTAATGATCCTCCACTAAACATTAGCTTCAGTACCAGAGTGGGGAAGATTATTTTTCCTGTTATTGCAAACATAACCCTGTCATGTCAAACTGTTGCACTGCCGACGAGTAAATCCAAGAGGCGTGGACAGGCCACAGACATCAAGGTGAGGACACACACTCTGGGTCGTTCTGGATCCTGCACTCACTGCCAAGTTTAACATGAAGATACAGCTGGAGAAATCTGGAGTTTGTTGTCTGTCTCTCCTGTTGACTTGTCCTAAAGGAGTGGTTTGTGGGAACAGGGGGCAGGAGGAGGAGTGGGTGTGTCCAAAGGGCCACTGAGTCCACCCCCAGGGACTGTGATTGGCTGAGGCCGCTGTGACTGAGTCCAGGGGAGGCCAGTAAGAAGGTGAGTGGTCTGGAAGCCTGCTAGGGGGCAGGCAGCAATAAAGGAGCAGAGACTAATGCCTCTTAAAACCAAGGTGTTCCCTGATACAGCTGCAGACTGAGAGAGAGAGAGAGAGGGAGAGAGACACAGAGGGAGAGGAGGGTGGAGGACACGAAACATATCTGAGAATTTGTGCACAGGGAAAGTTAGTTGACAAGCAGTCCTACTTGTGTGCTCACCCTTATCCAACTCCCCACTATAATACCTGAGGGACACACACACACATACACACAGATATATGTGTGGAGGGCTGACAGGGAGGCTACCGGCGCTGACTCTCTAGGGAAGAAGGGAATTACATTTTTTTTACCAATCCACTGCATCTATTCTCTGGAGATTAAAAAGAAGGATTAGAGCTGGTACTGCGCTCCACTTGTTCCCATCTCTTCTCTGCATTTTGTTGTCATTGAGTCACTTTGGATATTTTGGATACAACTTTGCCAAACTGCTGGTTCCAACTCAGAGAGGCATGGCACACGGACAAAAGAGCCACAGGTGGGCAGAGACCCAGGGCTCCTTCAGTTCAGCACTGGGTCTGTGGCTGCTCTCCCTCCTGCTCCTCACCGTTTCAGCCGCAGACGAGTACGACTACTACAGCTGGCAGTCGGACAACTTCCACAACGGGCGTTTCTACACCAAGCAGCCGCAGTGTGTGGACATACCGGCCGACCTGAGGCTGTGCCACAATGTGGGCTACAAGAAGATGCGGCTGCCCAACCTCCTGGACCACGAGACCATGCCCGAAGTCAAGCAGCAGGCGGGAAGCTGGGTGCCACTTTTGGCCAAACGGTGCCACGCCGACACCCAGGTGTTCCTTTGCTCACTTTTTGCGCCGGTGTGCCTGGACAGACCCATCTACCCCTGCCGCTCCCTGTGTGAGGCAGTGAGGGACAGCTGCGCTCCGGTGATGGAGACCTACGGCTTCCCCTGGCCAGAGATGCTGACCTGTGACAAGTTCCCCATTGACAACGACCTCTGCATTCCCATGCAGTTCACTGGGAACCACGCAACACAGGCACCAGGTAAGGCTGACTAATGCACCAAACCAGATGCTGTTACACTAGTCCCTAAATAAAAAAATAAAAAATGGCTGGGGTTTTGTAGTGTTCTACAATTCTTTGGCCAAATCCAAGTCTTCATTTCACTGCAAAATTCAGGAAATTACATATAAAATTTAAAGATTGTATCAGTGATCCATAGAATGAAAAATAATTGTTGAAAAAAGGCTGTTAGTAAGACTGATGAGTCCGCTGTCAAAAAGAGTGTGATAAATGACGATGACAGGTAAAGGTCTGAGTCAGAGACTATCCAGGGGTCAGTGGGGAAACACGGGGGCAAGAAGAGGTAAGAGGGGAAAGTTCCCGGTTATGTGGACGCCTCTGTGCGGCTCTCTGCCGTTTACATTCGCCCGAGGCTGAGAGCAGCTGAGACTGAGTGGAGACTGAGTGGCTCCAGAGACCAGACCGTTCACAGACCGTTGACTGAGTGAAGATAAATGCACTGTGATGTTTAGCAAACCATAAATGCAAAGGTGATTCAGACATGCAAGTACACACACACACACACACACACACATGCAGATCTTTATCTGCAGACACCATCAACAGATCATCAATCAATCTAACAGTTGAGTGAGTGTCTCATTTGAACTCATCTGTGAAAATCAAAAGCTGCTGCCGACGAAGGAAGCATGAACCGACAGAAATGTCCTTTTCTTTTTTCTTTTTTTTTTTAATATTTCACTGACCATGAGTGATGGGACAGAATGGCAGTGAATGGGAACTAAACCCACAACTCTGTGTGTGGGTTTGTGTTCCACAGCCTCTTCACAAAAGCCAAGAGAGGTAGAAGAGGGAGTTAATGAGATACTTTGAGACAGTGGAGAGGGGTCTGTCCCCGCCGTGTCCCTCCGTGCTCAGCCTTTGTTTAGGTCTGGCAGCCAGCAGCAGGCCAATTAGCTAGAAGGCCAATTAGTGAGCTCCCGCTAATTAGTGGGCATGACAGGACAAGAGAGGCAGGCGAAGAATGGGAATGGTTGAAGTGAAGTTGTCCCATGAGGAGTCTGAATGGAGAGGGGTGGAAGGAGAGGGGTGGGGGAGACTAAAGGGAGACAGAAAGTGCATATGAAGAGGAGAAAAGCTGCTTCCTGCGAGCATCGAGTGTCTGCTTCACCGCTCTTAGCAAGGGCTTAAAGAAACAGTGTGGAATTCTTTTTTTTTCCCCACTTTTTTTTGTAGAGTCTCGGTTTTCACCAAACTAAATGTTCTTTAATGGTAATATTTGATTTAGTCTCTTAACCAAACAGGCCATGGTCCTGTCTGTCTGTCTGTCTCTCTGTCTTTGTGAAATATATGGAGTTGTTCCTCCACACATGACTGTGTCTAAATGTGACTACACCCCTCTGCACCAGGTCCCGTCACATGTTCTTTCAGTTTTGGTGAAAACACAACAACCACATCGTGCTACTGCAGATACAAACATGAACTTATCATTTTCAAAGGGTTCAAAAATCGGAGATAAATTAAAACATCTGTCGGAACTTCATGACTTACTTTCAAAGATCTTTTCATTCATTTAGATATCGTCTAAATGAGGGCTATATTTTGTGCAGAGAAAATGTAAAGAATCCAGAGGATCAGTTACCTGGAAGACTTCAATTAAGAAAATGCAGCCAGATCTCTTGTCTGAGGTCATGTGAGGATGTCTGTAGTAAATCTGGTGGAAGTTTGGAGGTTGGATAAACAGATATTAAGTACGCAGCGTGATGGCTCTCTAAAATGATTCTCCATGTTTTAAGCTTTCTTGGGTAAAAAAAAATCAAATATGTAAAGCTTCTTCAGGGCTACATTCTCTTTTTTCAAGTATCTCCCTCCCTGTGTGTGTGTGTGTGTGTGTGTGGCTGTTTCTGTTGAGTCCAGATTGATGATGTGTGATTATATCAGGCATGTGAAACAGGTCTGTCTGTATCAATCGTAGCCATCGGAGGTGCACAAAAGTCTCCTTTAAAATAAATGTTTACGTTATTTTTATCTATTTGTCAGGACTGTTAAGATTCAATTAGAGATATCACTCTCTACACATAACCCACACAAGCAGAAGGCTGGACTTTTTTTGTGCTTGCCGAACATTATTATTATTATTATTATTATTATTATTATTATAAAACCCACGGTTCAAGCCTCAAATCCTAGCCAATATTCACAAGTCTGTTGACGATGACAACTTGTCACCATAAAGAAGACTATCCCCTATATTATTATTATTATTATTATTATTATTATTATTATTATTATTATTATTATTATTATTCTCCTGTAATGCCTTCACATCCCACTAGGGGTCCCAGTGGCCCGTTTGATGGGACTTACACCAGCCTATATTTTCATCAAATTCCATTTCCAGTTTCTTGGAAATGTATTCACTCAAGTTTTTGCCAAATATAGAAAAAACTGTTCTGAACGTTGAAATACCGTCCATGCTCATATCTGTGGTGGTGGAGCTGCACTTACTCTGATGGACCATACTGCAGTGACTGTTATAGGCATACTCTATGAAGAGAACTTATTTTCACATGGAATTTTGAGCAAGACAATGTCGGATTTTGCAAAAAAAAAAAAAAGCGATGTAGTGTAGCTCAAGGTGTGAGTCTAAAGTTTCTGCAAGCTTCACTGGCCTGGCTGCAGTCCAGAGTCTTCTCTATGTGGTACTTTGCAATCTTTCAAACGTAACAATGAAAAGGTTTGTTAAATATATAACATTTACCCACAAAAACAAAACCTTACATCTGTCCTAACAGTTTTTTAATGGTTGGATTTCTTTCCTAACTTACTCGTGATTCACATACTGTAGATAATCACTTGTTGGTTTGTGTGTCGGCCTTTGGGTCAAATTTCACTCTCGGCCGTTAAACGTCTTCTAACTTCTCTGTCAACACATATTGTGATTTTTCAACATTTCTGGTCACAGTGTGGACATTGTTCGGTCAAATCTGCGGCAATTACACAGTGTGAAAGATATTGTCCTTTATCTCCGTCCTCACTGATGAGACCAGTTTGAGTTACAATCACGCCAGAGGAGACTGGCAGCTTCGTCAGGTCCCGGCAGCACAATGCACACTACTCATGTGTCCTTGGCAGCCGAATGAAAGGGAAAATGTGATCCAATGGTCTGTGCATGGAAGACTGACTGGGCCTGGCTCTTTGGAGAATGTATTTTCTCTTCTGTATAGGATTCCTACAGATGCCAGGAGCGAGCTGTGGGGGCCCGCTGGGGGGCGAGGGGGGTCTTGCGGGCAGTGTTTAACTCTGTCTGCCTGCGAGCATGCCACATTTAAACAGATGTTGGACCGTTGGACATAAATCACACGCTGCATTTCATCCATGGCAGGATGCCTTTTATGTCATAAGTGTTTCTGCCTGTAACTCTGAGGGCCAGAATGAGGTACGAGATAGTGAAGTGAACATATTTTACATGAATCTCTGCGGCCATTAAATAAACCATGTGATGCTCAGGCAGGAGCTGATGAAGTATGAGGCATGTCAGCCAATCACATGACAGAACTGTAACATCTGGATCTCTGTCTTTAATGTCGTTCATTCACGTGAACTCTATTGAAACTTTTTTTTTTGCCTCATTTTTTTGATGAAGGTAAAAGAGCGTCGTTATAAAAGCTGCAGTCTTTGCTGCGTGTCACAAACAGTCAGGTCCGTGGTTTGAGAATCAACAGACGGTTTTTCAGAACAGACCGACTCCATTCCTGTCCAGCTCCCATCCTTCTTCTCCTCCTCTCATGCAAAACAATCAACTCTTGACCTCTGTCTTTTCATCATGGTATTTGGTTTGTGGATAAAGTTTATAATTCAGTTTTTTAATGAAAGATATTTTTTTAAAATACTTCTGTTGTTAATATAAATAAAATCAACCCTGACTGTTGAGACGATTGATTTTAAGGATGGATATTTTTGCATCGGCAGGTGGGCGTTAATCTTTTGTGTGGTCAACGGTTTTGCAGACGATCAAGTGATTATCTGCTCTGAGTCTAACAGCTGGCCACTAGATATAAGACATCAGCAAACAATTTGCCACGACTTTAAACTCCAATACGACCCTTCAGATCTCCAACAAGAGGAAGTCGAGTTTATAGTCAAGTTAGTGATAACAATTCTAAATGATTTGGTGATAGCGATAAAAAAAGAGATCTTTAACTTGAAATGTGTCTACATAATAAAATACACTACATCAAGCCATGGAGCAGTGGTTTTCTTCAGCGCAGGACGGTCATTTTTCAGAAACACAGCTAACAGTGTGAGGGGCAGTTGTCACTAAATTGATTTCAGCAGCGTCCAAATGGTGTTTTTTTAAAGTCCGACTCCAGCTACGTTTTATGGAGGCTGTGCACTTCCCTGACACATGTTCTGGCATCACAGCAGCAGCAGAGTCTCCTGCCAACACACCGCCACTGTGAAAGCAAAATGAATTCCTGTGGAGTCTGAATAAGATGCACCAGCTCGGAGGCAATCATTCAAAATGGACCAATCCAAAGAATCCTGGCATCTCTTAATCTGCCTCTCTCTCTGTGTGTGTGTGTGTGTATTTCCATACCAATGGTCTAGTCTTCTTGTCAGCACCAGACAATTAGAGCCGTGACCCAGTCGGGCCTCACGGGTCTGTCGTCTGTTAGAGCACGGGAAGAACGGGCAGTAACTCCACAAGAACACGGTTCGGCTCCCTCTGATGCACATGTGACGGCCCAAACACTCCACACGGTGGTGGTGAGGGGGCTTCACCTCCTCACGACCTGGGCAACCAAGCATGCTAAACTTTGACCTCTCCTATTATCTGCACAGACGCTGAGGTTTGGGCCGGCGTGATAACCTCTGAACCCTGACTTTTAACCCAGGGGCTGGGATAGCTGTGTAAGTGAGTGAGTGAGTGAGGGTGTGTGTGTGTGTGTGTGTGGTGGAGGAGGAGGGGAGTGGGGGCAGTGGGGGGATGTTAAAGTGACACAAAGAGGAAAGGAGACATTGTTGTAATCTCATAGCAGATGTGAACAACACGCCTGACTCAAGTAACATGGGAACTGAGAACTGAGAACCAGGGCTGTAAAAGCTCGTCATCCTGGAAACGAATGGAAAAAACTCGTTATCAAAAACTGTTCTTTGAGGGGAAAAGAAAAATGAGAGCTGAGTTTGTTTACAAATCTGTCTAAAATTACTTTTATTATTTCTCAAAAATCATGACATCAGTAATTATTGACCAATAGCTTTAGGGCGGCAGAAGATATGACTGATGTCATTTTCTCAGTAAATGTTAGCGATGTCATGACCTCCCGCTGTTTAGAGAAAGTTAGACTTACACAATGATCAAGCTTAGAACAATAAAAAATGAACTGAGAAATAGAACTGATCTGTAGTTTGAATTATCTGCTCCAAGAAGTAGATTGCCTGCCTCTCTTGTGTAGATTCTCTGTCCTCCACTTCTGACCAGCTCTGTTTGCTAAATCACTTTGCACCCCGGTCAGCTGCTGCAGCAGAAGTGTTTACCTTTTTTTTTTCTGCAAAATTCCAGACCACGCCTACACCATCAAAATATACAAGGAGCCGAATAAAAACATTTTCTCCAGTTTAATTGCAGGCCAAACATGAGTTGCCCTGCTGGACTTTTTACTCACTTCACAGCAAATGGTCTCTGACAAGTTGAGGGGGTTGAAAAATATGTGTCTGAAAAAAAGGGGGTTAGAGCTCAACGGTTTCACACAGCTTTTGTTGTGCTGACTGCGCAGTGACGTCAACGTGGCTCTTAGAAAAGTGTTAATCTGGTTTTAACAAGTCCCAATGAAAAGTGCTCAGGTATTTTAATTATTTTTCTCTACCCACAGTGTCCAAGGCATGTCCTCCGTGTGACAACGAGCTGAAGGCGGACAACATCATGGAGCATTACTGCGCCAGTGACTTTGGTACGTGTGGAGCCGCAACACTGATGATACAACACTGTACTGTATAGGCAGGATATTTAAATGATTAAGACAGAAGTTACAGGTTGAGGCCACTAAACAGGTTCCAAAATATATGCATCTTAAACAGTGAAATAAATTGTTAAAAAATAAGGCACGAAAATGCTTAAAAATAAGCTGTTTTTTCTATTCCTATCTCAGCAAAATATAGGATTTTTATATTTAGGAATATTGCATAATTTCAAGTAAGATTACTTCACAGCTACCCAGAGATTATTTAGATGAAAAATACCAATCTTTTGACAGCCATTATTATTATATTCCTTTGTTAAATAAATGCTGTCTCAGGAAACGTCTGAGCCAAAATAAAAAAACAAAACAAAAGACATTAACCGATGATGACAATAATCACTAATAACAGTTCTGTGTTTATGTAAGGTTTTTTTCCACCTCTGTTGAACCACGTACTCACAAGTTTGGATGAAATTAACACAGACATGACAAATGACCTGACACATTTTCCCTCTTTTTGCCAAACCCTCCGTCTCATAACGGCTTCAAATCTCCAAAGTCCGTTCAACACCACGGTCCAGTTTTTCCACCTTTAGCCCAGAAATGAACGCTTCTCAACACCACGGTCCAGTTTTCCCACCTTTAGCCCAGAAATGAACGCTTCACAAAGCCAGACAATAATGAGTTCATTATTCTTGTTCACAGAAGATTTTGGCAACATCACACTCAGACATTTGCCCCAGTCCTTCACTTTTCTCCACTTGTCGGGGGGGGGGGGGTTCAAAACTTTCAAGGATGAGGTACAACATCAGAAAATGCTTAGTCGTTAATTGGGCCTGAAGAAGTCCGGAAACAAAGATTACCACCAAATAATTAGCTTGTTATTTAACACAACACACGAGCTCACTCCTTTAAATCGACACTCAGACATTTTCTGTCTGATTTACTGTGACTTTGATGCACGTCTCAATAACGTCTGTTTGTTTTAAGGGTTCAAGGAGCAGCAGGCTGATACTTTTTATTAGAATGAAAGATGAGTACATGTGAAGGCAGACGGCCAGGCATTCAATTGGCCATGAACACACTGTACGTGATTGGACGAGACACGGGGATGAGTCGGTGGGAGTAAAGATAACCTTGACGTATGGATGTGGAGATCAAGGCGCGGATGAAACATCACTGTTGTTCCACACGGCCACGGCTAATAACAGCCTGATCCTGCTTAACCTTATTAACCATCCAGCTCCAGACGTTGTTTGCCCTCAGAGCGTTTCAAACTCGAGCGTTTCTTTAAAGCGTTGCTTTTGAAGTCTGATCTCTTTGCTGTTTATACTTTTTTCGTACCATTCAGCAGCGTGATGGAGCAGTAATAACAGGAGTAGAGAAGAAAAGCAGCTGCGGTCTACACCTGGTCCGTATCAGAGAGGGAGGCGTCTTGATTTGGTTTGATTTAGCTTAAAGACGCTCTCTTACATCTCGATTTGACAAAACATTCATCTTTTATTTTCCTTTCATCCACGGCAACCCGCCGACGTCAAAGAGGGAGTTTGTTTATTGATGTGTGCAGAACATGGTACTGCTAGCCCTACTTCCAGGAACATCGGTACTCTTCAGTGAAACTGATGTTTGGTAACTCACTTCAGGCTTTATGTTTTAAAGACAAAAACTGAAAAAAACTTTAAAAAATCAGTAACTTGTGTGAAAAAAAACTTTAAAAAATCAGTAACTTGGTGAAAACATTTTAAAAAATCAGTAACTTGATTCAAGGATCTCAACATTTACACCCTAACCAGTAATAATTGAGTTGTGAATTTCACTCTAAATCCACCTGTTGCTTTAATACACAATAACACGTCGTACACACAGTGGACAAAAACGTTTTTGTTTCACAAAAGCTTCTCGTGCTTGAAATACTTTCTCAACTCCCAGCGTGATCTATCTGTCTGTCCTAATAAAATAAAGTTTTATTTCTTACTACAGTTTTATTACATGAACTATTTATTCCAGGTCTTTTAGACCAAACCCTTCACTACCTCTGGGCATGTGAAGCCACTTAGAGCGAGAAATCATCTTTATCCCACCAATGAATACATTCATTCACACACAAAATACACTTCACATGTACTGTACAACTCAGATACTGTATGTCAGCACCACACTGCAGCGCACAGACACACACCCTCAGTGACGGAGCTGAAGTCAACCAGGATGTGGATACAAGGCGAATCAACACACGCACTTTTTTTTTTTTTACACGCTATCACTTTGCATGTGCCGAACACGTATCGCAGTTTGACAAGGGCTGTTTATGCAACTGCAGACGTGTAGGCGAGGAGTGAAATGGCAATCCTCCAGCACACTGGTGTACACTGTGATGCTCCATGCTGGCCCTGTGCTTCTGCCCGGCCTGTGATTGATTGAATCTGTCAAAGCGAGTGCTCCGAGGATTCAACTCTGGAACGCTTGGCGCTTCAAATATTAACCTCTCGAATAACTTATTAAGGAGAACGTGTTTAAAAGTAGGCAAAACATTTCCTGTTGCCTATTTGTAAAATTGAGACTGGGACTGTTTGTGCTCGTTGAATAAAAAAGACAAAGACAAGAAAAGAGATGGACAATTCCTAGACAAATATTAATTTCTTCACATCAACCAAGTTATAGATTACCCTAATAAATTAAATATATTTGATGGTCAAGTTGCAGGTATTGTATATTGATTTGAGACACTTCAAGATGAATATTTCAAAGGTAGACTCTGTTTGTAGAATATATTTATTAACAGAAGCCTCAGAAAAAGAGTATTTAATACAGTGTTTCCCAAAACATATTTTAAAAGTCACAAACCTTCGCGACCCAAGTCAACAGACATTATTCGTAAACTACTGGGAAACATGATGCGAGACGACCCAAAAAAAATATCTTGCGACCTACCTGAGGGTCGCGACCCAGTCTTTGGGAAACAATGCCTTATTTCAGAAATACCTGCACGATCAACTTTCTACTGGAAAAAACAGCTACTGGATTTAAAAACTACGTCTATGTTTTTTTCTGAAAGTTAGAAATTTCAGGTTTTTATCGCAGCATTGCTCTCAGAAACCAGCCTCGATCTCTGGCTGTTTTTCCACAGATTCACTGAAGGTCATTATGTTCTTTTTATGATTTCTATGACGCAAAAATAAATCTACTCTCTCTTCTCCCTCAGTCCTCAAGATGAAAATCAAGGAGGTGAAGAAAGAGAAGGGAGACAGGAAGCTGATTGCGGCTCAAAAGAAAAAGAGAGTACTGAAGCAGGGCGTGCTGAGGAAGAAAGACCTGAAAAAGCTGACCTTGTACATCAAGAACGGCGCCAACTGCCCGTGTGCCCAGCTGGACAGCCTGGGCTCTAACTTCCTCATCATGGGCCGCAAAGTGGACCAGCAACTGCTGCTCATGTCCATTCACAAGTGGGACAAGAAGAGCAAGGAGCTCAAGTTCGCCATCAAGTACATGAAGTCTCATCAGTGTCCCACCTACCACACCGTCTTCCAGTGATTTAACCAACCACATCCTTCCCCCTCCCCTCCCTCCCCCCGTCTCTCCTCACTTCAATCCCCGACTCCTGTTCCACCAACGCGACCCTGAAGGACGAGTGTGTTTTTGCAGCCAACGACTCTTCGACTCCTACACAGCTTCAGGATGGTCATTTTATATTCTTAGCCTCATCGTGAACCAAATCTTCAATCCCCCTCACATGAATTAGACATATTGAAGTGGGAAAGGCTACATGCTGCATATTCTGCTTCTCTCAGCGGAAAGAAAATAGCAAATGTATCCATAAGAGTGGGAAATCAATATTATTGCATCAGCAACCTAGGAATTCTGTAGAAATCTCTCCTAAAAATTTAAATTCCTTCTATTATATCCTTAGATCTAATCATTTGTATATCCTTTTGAGTGAGATAACAGCACCGAGGAGTGAGTGAAAAAAACAGCAGGTTTGTCAACATGATTGATGAATACAGTGATTACTGTGAGACAGGAAACAGTTTCTGTGGTTCCTGTCCCCAGTGACAAACATAAGATGGAGACGATCCACTTAAATCTATGTTATATTATTGTACAAAGTAGGTAAATGAGATGATGAATTGTAGTAAACGTGTCTTTGTCTTCAATTCCTGCGGGGAAAAGACAACTGATGGAATGAGAAAGACTGACAGGCTGGTGAACATGCCTCCGCTGGCCTCGTACAGCCGTGTTTTTACAGCCTTAAAGAGGGAGACTTGAATATTTTTTTACAGAATTTTGAATTAAAGTAAGAAGAAGGTAAAAAGCTGAGAAAACTTCGCGGAAAAAAAAGATGAAAAGAAAAAAAGGAGAGAAAAGAGACTCTGGACAGAACCGACAGTGTTGGGTTTTTAAATCTCTGGTATGCAGTATTTTTGTTTTTTTTTTGTCATTATCACTTGATTGTTTCCTTTTTACATTTCTACATTTTATAAATTTTATTCAGTTAAACACCTGTGGTATGAAAGCCGAAATCATACGTGCATAACACGGTAATTCACAATCTCCATAGAGAATCTTCAAAGTTAAAGCTCAACTTTACAACATGTAAGTAGATCTCATACCATAATGCATCTTTGTTTAAAAAAAAAAAGTAAATAAATAAAATATATTTGAAATTTTTATAAACAAAACCAGTGAATTGTGCCTTTTTTCCCGTTATTGTTATTGTTGTTCACTCACACACGTGATAAAATACTCCTGGTTCTGTTAGTGTTGGAAAAACTGAAGTAAAAATACTGTATAATACTGCACAAAAATGACATTTCAATATCATACAAATAATTGAGATTTATTTTAATTTTAATTTTAAGAGATTTTTACATTACATTGTACTCAAGTTAGGTACTGAGAGTTAAGTATTAAATAATCATACAAATAATTGAGATTTATTTTAATTTTAATTTTAAGAGATTTTTACATTACATTGTACTCAAGTTAGGTACTGAGAGTTAAGTATTAAATATGATTTTTTAAATCTATAATTGCCAACATCCTTAAAGCTTAGCTAACGGCAGCTAAGTTTGCTAGCTGCCCCCTGCTTCTTCTTCTATGAGTCATAATAGCACATTCAATTTTGCATTACTGCCCCCTAGTGGTTCCTTTTTAGCTTTACCAATCTGTCCCAATCACAAGCAAAGAAAATCAAACCTGAAAACTTAGTCGAACTCTGCAGGACACCAATATATTTAACATCGTGATTTTGTTTTACACAGTTCAGGTCGATGAAAACGATATTTAACGGTGAAGTACGTGGAGAGACAAACTTCACTGTATCTATTTCATGTGATTGACATAGAAATAATACAGCGAATAACTTTGGCGTCCACTTCATAGAAGCCAAAGATTCTTCTTTTTTTTGAAGCCGTAGATGTTATTGACGAACGCCCAGATTTCCCAGAATTCAGAGACTTTTGGCGACTGTTTCAAGTGCTAACGCCAACAAAACGATGGACCATTTTTAACTGATTGAAGAGATAACAGACACTTGTTAGCTCACAGAGTGGCAGAAAAGCATTGGAGAGCGAAGGCGTAGAACAGCACTGCTTTTATTGGAGAGTTTACATCTTCACTCTACCAAACATAAACACATTTTCACTGAGAGGGGAGGGGTTTGTTGGCCCTGCCTGGCAACTTAAGCCTTAAAGAAACGATAAGGAGCTTTCATAGAGTAAGGTGAAGAAACGCACCAGGGGAAAAACACAGAGGGAAAGTGAAAAAGGAGCCAAGAAGAAAGTTGGACCAGGACCAGAGACATCCATCAACACCTCTTCAAAAGGTCACTTAATGTAGTTAATAAGGGCTTGATGAGGGACACACACACACACAAACACACACACACGAGCATATAAAAGATGTCTGGAAGTCTCTCCCTCTTCTGCAAGTACAGCTGAGTTCAAACTAATTACAGCAAAATCAAACCATAACACCGAGTGATAAGTGAGTTAAAGAAACACACACACACACACACACACACACACACACACACAGGCTGCAGGAGAAAGGCCACATTGTCCGATTTTTAATGTAGTTGCCAGTTAATCATGGCACATTTTTTCACGGGTCAATGACGGTGAACTGTTGGAGCTGTCACCTGCACACACACACACACACACACACACACACACACACACGTGCACACGCACACGCACTTCCATCTCTGGAAGAACAAACTGGAAAACTTTGTATATTCACTAACAAATATAAACAATCACTGATCTATAATGTCAGGACGGAGGGAAGTGTTCGCTCTCAATAACAGGGCAGCACGTGTCCTATACGTGTCTTTGTCCCATATGTGTCTTTGTCCCATACGTGTCTTTGTCCCATACGTGTCTTTGTCCCATACGTGTCTTTGTCCCAGGTTCTTCCATATCTAATGACCAAACACTGAAACACATCAGAATATGATGTGATAAAATTACAGTAAAAACCACCAACCTCTAACTCTGAACACAGTGAACAAGATTAAAGTTCTCTCTTTTACCCCTGCACTGTGTGAAATCGGTGGCTCTGTTTTGTTGAACTCTTCCCTGGTTTTAAATTTATCAGCTCAATGTGGTTTAATTTAATTTCTTTATAATTAAGGGGCGGTAAAAGAACAAACAAAAAAGCCTCGCTTTTCAGTATCAGATGTCGTAGTTTCGCTCCACTTTTCAGGATGGATGGAGAAAGTACTTTGCAGAAAAATGTGAGTCTGGACCAAAGCCCTCTCCTGGGCAACTGGCAAAAAAGGCTGACAATTTACTGCTGATGTTTTAAACTTCATTTTTTTGGATGAGTTACTGTGCCCTGGCAATAAACTACATTTTCTTCAAATGAGAACAAGCAAAGTTTATGGCTTGTGGAAACTGTTACGAGTTTGTTCGCGGACAAAAGAACCGCTTCATCGTAGATCGTGTTACTTTATCGGACTGAGGTCCAATAATCTCATCTTTGATTTGATTTTATCTTCACACAAACACACATTTACAGCAGTGTAATGAGCACATGAAAAAACACACACACACATGGCCAGTTGCAAGTTAATCACATTTGACGAGTCGGCCTCAGCTGAATGAGAGCTTTTATATGACATACTCCACAGTTAGTCGTAGGTGAATGACTCGCAGCAAGCCTCTCTACCCACCACACAGGGTGTCATTAAAGGCCTCATCAGAAAGGCAGCCAACATCCTCCTGGACTGGAGCTCCAGACCACCTGCCTGCAGGAAGGGAGGGCAGTGAGAGTTTGTTCATTCACTTAGGAGGGAGTGAAGACTGGTGGTAACAGCAGCACACGGACACAAGGACTGGACCGGCTCCGAGCCTTGGCCTCGGCTCCTCAGCAAATGAATCAAAGATGCTGGATTTTATGTGTCTGAGTGTGTATGTGTGTGTAGCCTGATATAAACATTCACCATTTCAGAATCAGAAGTCCTTCTGGTGGCCCGAGACTGGTCCAAATGAAGCAAAAACCTTTTTACAAGTTTCCTGGTTTCGGTTAGAGGAAAGACTTTCAATGCTGCCCATGTCTGGCAGTTGTACACAAACGCTAGCTTTCATCTGACCCAGACAGAATGAATGTAGGCCTAATGAAGCCCACATGTAAAACATCACGCAGTCCGAGTATCTTTAAATAAATGTCGCACATTTCTGGGAAGATTACATTATCAAACTTTACCCTAAAATGTCCCAGTATTTGACAACTGCTGGTGTTTCTCTGAAATAGCTGCCACTTCATATTGGATTTTGTTGAGCTAGGTTAGCATATCTATGTTAGCATATGACACAAGATTATTGGAAAAAAAAATCAACAAATTTTTTTTAGTGTGTCATTAATTTTGACTTTGAACAGAAAGCTTTTCTGTTCAGTAAAACTGTCCTTGACTGTTTGTTTTTTTCTTAGTTTCAAATCTTTGTTGCATCATGCTAACTAACTTCTGTATGAACCTAAAAAGTGTTCCTTTTACAGGGGGGAAGGTAAGGGTTATTTTTGCTTAAAAAGTAATAAAGCCCAGGAAACTCAAAAAAGTGTTTAAAATAACCTGAAGATAAAGAAACAAATAACAAATGAAGTCCTTTACTCTCTCTGTCAAATGAAAACATTTTGAAATATGTTTACATTCATCTTTTATTACGGACGTGGCTTCGTGTGAACGGAGCAGATGACAGTGGAGCTGGAGCCGTTCCTTCGTTCTAACACTGTGTCCCACACACTGACACGGCGAAACAATGACCCAGTGACAGCGACATTCACGGCCTGTCAGCCGGACTGTTGAACTACTGTGATGAGATTAGATCCACAGAAAATCACACACTCACTCAGGGACCCGCCGCAGAAAAGGGTGAGGAGAGAGCGAAGCTCGCGGGGAGGAAGGTGGGGGTTGGGGAAGGCCTGAAGAAACTGGATAAGAAAACAAGCAGGCAGCTCTCTGGGGACTTTGGCTCACGGAAACAATCACATTGGCCTCAGTGTATCCTCAGCAGTGGAAAATGAATAAATTAGCAGGTGGAGCAGAGAGTGAGAAGCCATGTGTAAATGCCATCAGCGGGTCCCAAACCTGCCATTTCCCCATTGAACCAACATGTCAATGCATGGATTTACAGGCGTGTGGAAAGTATAGATACATCTGCAAACACACCTGTAGACACCACTACTATCACACACACACACACACACACACACTTCAAAAAGCATGTCGTTAATTTTGGTGCTGGCGGACCGTAGACCAGGGGTCAGCAGTTATATTTGCCAGACTCTTTCTGGACGGACAATCCAATAAAATGAAATTTTAAAAATCACATTTTGTCATAAATAGTGAAGGTTACTGAAAGTTATACTCAGTCTCAGCTGTTGTTTCTCAGTTGCTTTAACGGTCGGCACGACACGATATTTTCTCTTTAATCCTCACAATTTTGGAATCCAGTCGTGGAGTCTGACCACAGCAAAGGTCATGGACAAACTGACACAATCAGGCAACGCACAGGCAAAAGCCCTGGTTGTTACAAAGATTCATGACCATATGGAAAGACAGCCATCAGCCAGTCAATAGACCTGTCACACACACACACACACACACACACAGGCTTTTGTGAGAGCAGAGGTCAAGGTCATCCAGGGATGACTGGAAGGTCAGGGACTTCGTGTGTGTGTGTGGGGGGGGGGCACGGTGCACTGCAGACCCCACCCACTCCCCCCTGTTTTAGATCCACAATGTTTTGGAAGTCAGGTCATGACCTCCGACCCCCATTAGACCCTGACAGAGGAGGAGGTCTGGTCAGGTGGGACTACGGCCACTAATTGACATAATCTCCTATTTTCTGCTCGTTGGTCTTTTCTTTTCAGACCCACCAGGAAACGCTCTGTGGTCCAGGGAGGCTGCGTTTGAGTGACATCGTACGTTGGGTCATTCTCTCCGTGCTTCCTCTGTTTCCCACTAACGTGGAGTCATCCTCCCTCATTTTACTTCCCTGACTCAGAGGGACAAAGGGAAATATCGAAAGATACTGAGAAGTACTATTTCGGGCCTCACTTGACATTTGAGTCGAAATACACGTACTGAAAGTATTCAGCCAATAAATGAGGGACTCAGCAGTATCCAGGCCCCGTGTATTTATGACATCACATATCTTCAATATGAGAGGTCGTAATAGTTATCTGTCTGTCAGTGTTTTTACTGACCGTGGAAATATTTTAGCACTGTGTGTGTGTGTGTGTGTGTATGTCTGTGTGTGTTGGCCTATTTTACTATCACCTGTCATTGTTAGCTATTATTTTAAGGAGAGCTCCCCCTGATGGAGACGAGAACGTGTTGGTGATTACAGGGATGAACGGTGAACGGAGAAGCTGGAAAATTTTTTCCCACTTCATTGTAATTAATTTTTGTCCTACGGAAAATTGTGTTTTTCTTTTCTGCTTCTAATAATCAGAGGGTAATCAGATTCCAATCTCTCCTGCCCCAGAGGTGAAACGCTGCTACTGAATCATTTATCTAACTTTACAGAATCCAATCTGTATCTTTTCTATAAAACAAAAATGGAATAAATCACCAAGTCATTTTACTATCAAATCACTAGCAATAAAGTAACTGGTCTAATTAGTTCAAATAATTTTTTTAAGTAATCATTTCCTTCAGGCTTTACCAACTTTCTTCCCTCTTGTACATCTTGACACTTCTTCTCCCACAGTTAAGAACACGTCCTACGTCTGCAGTTCCCGCCCTGATGATACAGTTTCTAGTTCCTCTCCTTCTTTCAAATCCGTATTTACTGTTTCACTATCAGTGACACAGTTGGGTCTTCGTGCGTCCTCTGCCCAGTTTTTGCTCATGTTATAAATCACACGGAAACCACTGACATGTCAACACACATTTGTCCCATAACTGAAAGACTTAGCATTGCAGTGTGATATTTTACAGCATCCGACTAACGATGTATGATGTTACACGTTGACATCACAGCTGCAGTGGAATAACACCAACACTTCAATATGTCTGTGATGACTTCAATCTTTCAGCAATGATACATACATATATATATATACATATATATATATATATATATAGATGTATAAGAGTGAAATGGCGGAGGTCGACTAACTAACTAACAGCTTCATGTGTTTTGTGATGTGAAAAGCCCAGAAAAGTTGAGGGGCAGTTTTGTGTAATAGGACTGGCTTCAGTGAACATTAACACAGTAACTAAAGCCCTGAAACGCTCCCTGCTGGTATTTGTCACTGGTGTGACTACATGGAGCAAATCTGCAGATTTCCTTTTCCATGAACAGAGTTTTGAAGTAAATCAGTCTTTTTCTCTCCCGCTGCCTGAAATAATAACCGGACAAACTGCAGCGTCTCGGAGCCAGCTTCCTTCAGAACAATCACTCTCCGGCATTTTGAAACATTTGAGGATATTAATGATCCAAGATTTTTAAAAGAGCAGCACATGTTTGGCTAAACAAAGGCACACAGGAGAGATATTTCACTTTTTCAATGGAAAATGTTGGGTTACTTTACAATATGTGATTTGAGGGAAAGTGTATTGGGACAAATGAGCGTCCTGGGTTGTCCATTATCACATATGAGGCACACACTTGGTACTTAGAGCCTTAGTTCATGTTGATCCTTTTTACAGATCATGAAATTCACCCGCTGAGTGAAGTGCACTACAATGGAGGAATTAACATGGTTCAAATTATGACTGTAGATGGATGGATGGATGGATGGATGGATGGATGGAAACAGCGGTGGTCACAGAAAGTGGGCTACATCCAGATGTAACTCATTTTCACTCTTTTTTGTTTTTATTCTTCTCATCTGATTTTGACAAATTGAAAAGTGAACAAATATCACCATAGGTTGAATATTGTTTTTCACTGTTTGTTTTGGCCACGGAACCAACAAACTCTTTT